AGGCAAGTGTCCCCTGGGGGGCTCCTTCCTTGCCCACAGATTTTACCAGGGCTGGGGCAGGGGTGGGTTCCCATAAGTGCTTTGAACTGCTGGCTTTGCAAGGATTGCTCAGCGGGCCAGCAGTGGCGGTAGTTCCCCCGTCCCCCAGCGGGCTTAATTTAAAGCCCGGTGGAGCAGGTCAGCCAGTCTGGCTGAGAAGAGCCTCCTCCCTAGGGGAGAGAGGTGGAGGCCATCTCTTCCCAGCAGCTCGCTGCCTTTCTCGCCAAAGAGCGGGCTGTGGTCATGAAAGCCAAAGCCTTCCTGATGACACCAGCGCTGCAGTCTTTGGTTGACCACGTGTATCTTCCTCTCCCTCCTCAGTCCATAGCCTGAGACCGGGAGGATCGACGAGAACACCACCTGTGCCCCCAGACCCTTTAACCCCGCTCCCAAATCCCTGTAGCGCCTCATGACCTGACTGGAAGCACTCCGAGCCGTGAGAACTCCGCTCCACCCCAACACATACCAACACAAATAAATAAATTAATTTTCCATGTATAGGATCTAATTATTGGTTGGTTGTATTAAATTCAGGGTCATCTTGGATTCAGGTAAATACTGTAATCAGAATCTGTGCACATAATGCAAATAAAACCAAGGGTAGAAATTGAACATTGTTGGAAATCAGTGCAGATTTATTTATGTTCCTGTTTGCTCCTTTTTAGTAGAGAGATTTATACATTTCAAACAACTTTGTTTTTTCAGTGTCTTCTTTCTTGTATAACTTAGCTTGATTTTTTGTAACATAAAATAGCCCCCCAATTTGATAGTATACTTGCATTAATTCCCATTCATTACCATCAAATTTTCATGTTGGACTGTTAATTGTTACCAGTCAAATAAACACGTGACTATCAGTGCTCCATCCTATTTTTCTTTCTATATCATCTATACATTCAAAATAACCTGTTATTGGAAAAAACATCATTTAATTAATGGACTTTTATAGCTGTAAATCTAAAATAGACTTTGGTTCATAAGTCTAAGAGATTTTAAGAAATGTTAATAATTACAGTTGCACATTGTAAACTGATTAATTCAAACATTATGATTTCTTGATTTTTGCGTGTGAAGTTTTAAAATGAAAATCCCTTAAATTATATTAGAACTTCTTCCAAGATGTTTAACTTTTAAAATTTTCTGCAATGCAAAAAAAGGCAATAAAGAAGATAATATTTAAATCTTGCCACATGAGCGAAGCTGTGGTATGTTTTGTTTAATTGTGGTTATCGTGCCTGAAATCCACTTAGACAGTGTGCTCAATTATTTTTTTTTCTAAAGTTTTGGTAAGCATTTTTTTATATTTGGAGTTTAATTTTACAAAAAGCAGGGAAAAAAGTGTTATAAAACCAGATGATTTAAAAAAATGCTATTGAAGTGAGATCTCTGCCCTCTCTAATGTTCATTAATGTGGGAAAAAGTTTAGAGCAGCATGAAGAGGTCCTCATAACTTGAGAAGCTGAGGAAGTCCCTTGGTGCTTGCTCTGCGACAGATGGCTGCTTTCCATGGTCTACCTTGCAAGTTCTGATGGAGAGGGCGAGGCTTTGGGTACGAAGATGTGGCAGGAAGGGCCACAGAATACAAGATTTGAGTGATTCCAGGCACTGGAGTGGCCTGTGTGGAAAGCCTTAGGAATGTGGCTGATTAGAGTTAGGCCTCATGTTCCTAATCGCAGTGCATTCAACTCTGATTGCAGCTCATTTAGACCTACTTGAGTGAGATTTAAACCAGTTAACTTGGGTACTGTTATCAGTGTAAATTCAGTGGAATATGACATAGCATGTGCTGCAAAACCAACTTGAGACGCTTGGTATGAGTAATTGACATGAAATCAGCTGTATTCCACCCTGGCTAGATTAATAGAAGTAGTCAAACAAGCTAGCCAGTTTAAAGCTAACTCAGATACTTCTATGTTATCTACCTCGGAACCATAATAAAAAAGGACTGGATAGGGCCTTACGAGATCATCTAGTCATGCATTCTGCTAACCCATAGGCAATACAAGGAGGGGAATGGGAGGGCACTTGCCCCCACTGAGATTGACTGCCGCAAATTCTGCTGCCGGCATTTGCAGGCAGTCACCGCTTGCCACTCCCACCTTCGCTGCCGACACCACTGTGGCTGCCTGCGGGTGGTCCCTGCTTGGCTCATTCTCGTCACCAGTGTCACTGCGGCTGCTTGCAGGTGGTCCCCTGTTGGCCTGCCCTTGCTGCCGAAGTCACCATGGCCGCCTGCGGGCGGTCTCTGCTTGGCCTGCCCTTGCTGCCAATGTCACTGCGGCCACGTGTGGGCAGTCCCCACTCGCCACCACCAGGCCACCGACACTGCTGCTGCTGTCTGCAGGCAGTCGCTGTGCTCTCCCCAGGCACAGGAGGCACGAGTCGTTCATGTGCTAACCTGTTCTTAAAGACTTCCAAGAAGAATGGAGATTCTCTAAAGGCAGCTTGTTCCAGTGCTTTGCTACCCTCATAGTGAAAGTTCTTATTAATATTCAGCCTAAGCTCCCCTTACAGCAATTTTAGACCATTACTGCTTGTCCAGTCCTCTGCAGCCACAGTGCAACCACAGTTTATTGTCATCCTCTTTTTTTTTTTTTTTTTTTTTTTAACTGTAGCATGTGTTTGAAGACTTACCAAATCTACTCTCAGTCTTTTGTAGACTAAATAATTCCAGTTCTTTCAACCTTTCCTCATAAGCCATGTTTCTGGACCTCTGATCATTTTTGTTGCTCTTCCCTTAACTCTTTAATTTGTTTGGATATATGTTGAAGTATAGTGCACCAAGCTGGACATAGAACTCCCAGTAAGGCTATATCAATGCTGAACTGTGGAAGAATCACTTCCCTTGATTTGCAAGTGATAGTTCTGTTAATACAGCCGAGCATGTTATTGGCTCATTTTGCAACAAGATCACTGTTGACTGGTATTCAACTTGCAGTCCACTATAAACCCAAACTCATTTTCTGCAGTATTGAAGTCTAAGCAGTCATTTCCTAGTTTGTATTTGAGTATATGCTACTTCTGTCTCTCGTGCATGACTTTGCACTTGTCCTTATTGAATTGTAGTCAGTTAATTTTGGACATATTTTCCAATCATTTTGTATCCTAGTTCTGACCTCCCAGATTGTCTGCAACTCTGTCCTTCTTGGTGTAGTCTGTAAATTTTCCTTTTGTGCTCAATCTCCTTTTCCAAATCACTAATGAAACTCTTAAACGGTATCAGACTCAGGACAGACACCTGGGTAACCACACTTGTTATTTCATCCCAATTAGGCATCAAGCCATTGATGATAGTCAGTGGCTTTGAGCATAATGATCCAACCAGTTATGTATTCACCTTCCAGTACTTTCTTCTGGCCTGTTTCCTTGGCTTACTAATGAGAATATCATGAGAAACAACGTCATGGAAACCCTGGCCAGCACTTACAGTAGCTCAGGTTTGCTGGGTAAAAAAGTTGTCTTAAAAGAGTTGTTATGGTGTACCTCTGATATCCTGTCAGGTGAAGCACTGGATCCCACCCAAAATACTTTGTAAAACTGAAGTGTTTAATGCATTTGTTTCATAACCATTTTATTGACCTGTCACTTAAAAACGCATTTAAATGTTACCGTTTTAACCACAACTTTAACCATTTAAATAAATGCATTTGCAGGCTTCAACAAGGATGTGAATTCAAGTCTCTGAGTTTTTTTTTTCACTAAGATTTTCATTTCAGAGCATATAGCAGACCTATGTAGCCTTAGCTTTTGTCCCACAAAGGTTTAATTTCTTTTGAAAGCTTTGCTAAGAGCATAGGCAGGCAAGATTATTTGGGTAGATGTGATATCTTCTATTAGATGAAGTAAATAGTTGGAAAAAAGTTCTTTGCAAGCTTTCAGGCACAAACACCTTTCTTCAAGCAATGGGAAACTGCTGATGTTATGAGTTTTCCAAGGTAGAAAAGAAACTAAGTTAAACTAGAAGTCTGTGAAGCACAGGCAATCTAAGGGTTTATCTGTATCCAAAACCTACACCTGCTTAACCAAAAAATGTCTTCAGATTAATTTAGCTAAATTGGTGTAACCTCCACATGGGTGCTCAGATCTGTTTATTAACAGGGTTACATTGATTTCAGTTAGTCTGATTTTAATTAAATTGATGCAGTTTTGTGTATAGACATGTTATAAGAAACACATTTGTCTGGAGCATCTTTTAAAAAAAATGGCCTAGGTCATAATTTGGCACAATTTGTAACTTCTTTTTGTACCGGAATTTAGCCCATTCTCTTCGGTCAGCCTCTTGTTGGCCCTATCCATGGCAAGAAAAATAATCTAGGACATTCTAGGTCACAGCTGAGTTGGCTCTTTCATCCACATGTTCTTGATAGAGATCCCTTGATTCTGAAATGTGCTTCTAGCACTAGGCAGACTTGCCCTTAAACTGGAGACTTTTGGATACCATGCAGAATGAATTTGCTGAGTAGATTCTTTATGTAAATTTCCTTTCCTTTTCTTTTTCTTTTTTTAATGCCTTTTTTATTTTGAGGAAGATGCAAGTATATTTACTTTTATTAAACAAGCTGGATATTTGCAAAACAATAAATGAATTTTGCATTACCTTAGGTAAGATAATTTAGTCTTGGAATTAATGTTGCCAGTCAAGGTAACTTGATAAATATCTCCATTTTTTCCCCACGAACTCATGGTCCTAGCATACATACAGTTAAATTTGTTGGGTGCTAATTAGTTGAACTATACAAGGGGAAATAACTTTTGAATTCAAAATTTCCAAATGTTATTACTGAATGGTTCTGTGTAGTTTGGTTTTTTTGTTTTTTTTTTTTAACAACACAGATCTTTGGTAGTTATGCCATTTTCTTAGTTAAAAGGCGATTGATCTGAATAATTTGTTTTAAATATATATATATATTTTTATTTTCAAATTGTTTTAGATCACAGTACAAAGCAGACTGGCTGTGCAGAAACCAAAGTTATCAGTATGTGTACAACCTCCTTTAGCATTGACCTGTGACCAGTTCATCTTTAATGATATAGGTAAATTCTTCTTTTATCATTACAGCGTACTTAACACATTTATTAAACTGTGGGATTGCTGGAGTCTTATCCTCAAAGAATTACTTAAGTTTCTATATTCTCAGAGGTCTAGTAACTTCACTTTTTACATGGCTATTATAGATTCCTGTTTAAAACAAGAAACAACAGTGACATTTGGGGAAAAATAATGTAATAAATGGGATAGAAAATGTTGCTGAATATATTGTGTTCCCACCCTCGCATTCAGTTCTGGTCACCTGGCCTCAAAAAGATATGGTATTAAGCAAATAAAAAATTCTAGGGCATGGAAAGACTTCAGCATGAAGAGAAATTGAAAGGTTGCTTTGTTTTGAGACAGGGAAAAATAAGGGAAAGAAGACAGGTATGGAAATTAATGACTAACATTGCTAAGATGTATCATAGTTTAAATGCAATCTAGGAAAAAGGGAGAAATCAATATAAAACTACAAAGTTACAAATTTAAAATGGATAACGGGGACATTTAAATTTGATGCTTTTCAATCCCACCAAGACCCAAACTTTAGTGGACTTAAAAATAACTTACTATGAGAACTTTGATATTTACATTAGAAACTTAAAAATAGACATAAATCCTCAATTTCTGGGCATAAATTAGCAGCGTGTTTAGTTTAGTAAGAACTTCATCTATCCTAAGCTATTCCATAATTACGCACTACCTTGTAGCTTCCTTCAAAGCAGACAAATGTCAAATGCATTCAGTGGGTAGAGTCAAATTTGCATTTCCATTAGACTTAACAGACTGCGAGTAAGAAATTCACTGTTAAGAAGACAAGGTTCTTTGTGTGAATCTGATATCTTTTATTAGACCAACTGAAATAGTTGGAAAAAAATGTTTAGCAAGCTTTTGGGTTCAAAAACCCTTCTTCAGGCTGAGGAAGCCTCTGCAGTTGGTGTGTGCTCTTCCTGGATGGAATGAGCACACACCAACTGCAGGGGCTTCCTCAGCCTGCAGAAGGGGTTTTGAACCCAAAAGCTTGCTAAAATTTTTTTTTTCCAACTATTTCAGTTGGTCTAAAAAAAGATATCAGATTCACCCAAGGAAACTTGTCTGCCTATGTCCTTAGACCAACATGGTTACAACCTACACCACTGTCAAGAAGCAAATTTCTCAGTGTTTTCCAACTCCAGAATGAACCTCTTTCTCAATAAAATTAGGTCTTTAAACATGTATGGACAGTTAACAACTTTAAAAAATGAAAATTAGTTTTTTGAAACTTCTTTTCCTCTGTCCATTATCTTAACTTCTATGTAACATCCCCAGACCATCAATTTTGTCAGTTTTTCCTTTTCCCCAGGTGTCCTGATTGGGGCATTCTTCTCAACCACCATCACCACTTAATAAATTCTCACCCTTCTTTCCCCTCATTATTACCCCTTATATATTCTCCTGCTCTTTTTCCTTATCTTATGGATTCTTAATTTCTTCTTCTTCTCTTCCTTACCTCCTTCTGAAGGATTCTTTTTTCTTCCTACCTCTGCCCTTATCCTTTTAATCCTTGGGGATTATTACCCCTATGTTTTTCCTTTCTTGTTGCTTGGGGATTTCTCTACTGGATGCTTTTCTTTGGATGTAGTCAGGAAGATGAGAGAGCTAGTAAAAGTAGGTAAGGAGCCTCCTTTAGTCTGATAAGTGGTTTGCAGTGGTTGAAATTAAAGAAGGTAGTCTGGAAGTAGGTGTTAGGGGAAAAAGGAAAGCTGCTTCTAGGAGTGCTCAGCTGAGGCATTCTGGTGCCAATGCAGGGAACTGCTGTTGAGCATCAGGAAAGGAGGCAAGGCTCAGTTACCTGTGTTCAAGAATAAATTCCTCCCTCATTTTTTCCTGTTCGCTTGACATCAGCTCTGTTCCAGCCTCTTTTACATAACTGCAGAGAAGATTGTTGTAAAGATTATAAAGGGAGCTACAAACCAAAGTCCTGTGGCATGGATTTGGTGTGCTGACCCTATGTCTAATATTTTGCCTTAAGAATCTAGTATTGCCCACTGTTCAAGGTGGACTTAATGGACTCGATGGACCACTGGTTTCATTTGGCATGGCAGTTCCTATGCTCCAGTGGCATGTTACCTCAGGGACAAAGGGCTGATGACTGAGGAAAGTACTATCACTGAAATGTAAAAAATGTATTTACACCAAGTTTTTCTAACATGGTGCACAGAGATCTCTCACTAGATGCATTTTAAAAGTTTCAAACTGCCTATCTTTGGGGGGAGGGTGTTAAATATTGATGACACAATTCTGTGTAGTAATTTGGTGATACTAGTTTGATAAAAACATATCCTCCAGTTTTGGAAAATTTGTTTTCTTTCAGTTGAACATATTTCACATAAACTTTTGTTATTTTAGGACCAGCAGTATCTAAAACTGTAGTCCTGTCTGCCTTTCTAAAGGGGAATTGCCCACCAGCAGAATTGGAAGGAAATGCAATATTTTCATATAACACACCAACAGGTGAGGAAGTAGAGATTTCCAATAAATTCTCCCCTCCCCTTTAGCCCCAAAGCTTTGGTTCGTATCTGTTATGTACTGTTAATTTTTCCTTTAAAATAGTTGTTTCCAGGACAGCTCAGTCTCCTATGATTTTTCCTAATATTTTATGTAGCACTGTTATGTAAACCCAAAGCATTTACAGAAGTAAAAGTATTTATAGAAATACAAATACTTACAGCATGAAAAGTGGCTGTGCAAGCTCCGTTACCATATTTACCTTCATACCACATGCACTTTTTCCTTAGTCGGCCCTAATTAAGCTAACTTGCATTCAGGCAGTTTTGCTGTCTGCTAGCTGCTTCTGGTCTCTCTTCTCCAATTTCATTGCCCTGGAGACTCTTCAGCCCTTTTCAAAATCATAGATCCATCTCTTGGCACTAGTCTTCAGGAGCAGCTAGGGTTCAGTTTTCCCTGAAGCAGGAAAGGAAGGGTTAATAAGCTGGGGATTACCCCCCCTGCTCCATGCAGCCATAACTCAAGAAAAATCTTTTCATTTTATTCCTTCATTCTGCCTTCCTAACAACATGGTGTGTGTCTTATTTAAGGGCATGTGGTATGTAAGAAAATATTGTAATTACTTCAGTGCCGAGGTGGAAGGAACAGCCCCTATAATGCTGAGAAATCAAGTTACTTCTTTATGACTGTTTAGTGCTTTACCTCACTGCTAAAGCTGCCAGCTACAAATGGAATTGCTATCTGATCACCTAGGAAAAGGTTTTAATAGGCACTGAAATTAGTTTATTTGTTTAAAAGAGGTTCTTGCACTGACTAAAAGGGAAATTAGAATGAGGAAGTAATTGTAAGACAAATACCCAAGTCATTCCATATAATAATGACCCAACCTATCCAGGGCCAGTTTGCCCTCATGTCTATTTTTTGATCATATTGAAACTAAATTGGCTATCCTGTAAGTGCAAGAAACCATGTTGTATTACACATATTGTTATGTTGTTATGTCATGCTTAAATGGCACTAAGTGTATTTGTTTGACTTTCTGTTGCAATGTATATGTAGGAAAAATGGGTAATATATCACTGGTATAATTGTTGTAAAGGAGTATTTTCATTTACTTTCAGTTTAGGATTTGGCCACAAACCTGCTTTCTCTTTCTCTCACTCCTCATTGGTAGTTGGAACAGATTTCAAGGTTATTTCTTTCCCTTATGGCCAATCTGCTATATTTCCCTAGGTAACATATGAGGAGCACTCCTGTGAATTGGGTGTTCTTGATCTTGGGAAGACTAAGAGTAGTGCCGACCATTTTTAGAGCCTCTAATAAGTATGTGCTACAGAATAGCTAAGTGTTGGTCTGCTGATGGCAAAATCTTTACTGCTAAAACTGAGCCTGATTTCATCTGATGCACTTTTTCTGAAAGGCACAAGATTTTAAATTCTTGAAAACTGAGAGGAATAGTAGACTGTTGATTGTGGGATTTACTTTCTCTGGCCTGCTTGCAGCCCGAACATGCATACTTTCAGGGTGTGTCACCTGGCATAAGTTTTTGGTTAAGCATATGTTTGACCATTGATTGTTACTGGAAACAAACCAGCCTATGATCACTTGGGACAGTTGGAGGAAACAGTCCAGATGTGTGCTGTTCATGAATAGCAGTTTAAAGTGCAGATCTGCTCTTAAATATGACTGTAAAAACAGCACCTCATTTTGTAACTGATCTGTCTTCTTCAGGCTAGAGTACATGGGTGTTCAGAGTGAGAGGGGAAAGGTTGCTTTGAGTCCTCTCCCCAAGCAATGGACACAGCTGTAGTTGTTTCACTTTGAGGATGTCCAACAGCGCTTGTACCTAATGACTAGAAATGCTGTTCCTACGAACAGTGTGGCTTGGGGCTGTTTCTAGTACAGGGCTGCATGTAAATCATACAAATTGATATTTTGTATTTTGAATGAATGATGTGCACTTGTTTTTTAGCGAGTTATTTCTTCCTATGAACTGAAAAGAATAATTATTAATTAAAATAAATACTTCAGGCTGACTTAAATAAATTATGTTGAATTTGTAGGCCTTGCAGTTTAGAAATAATACTTGTTACCTGACCATATTTAACGTCAATTTAATGAAATGCAGTCATTGGGGAAGCCTGTCGCCATTCCTTAGAGAATCACTTTAACAGTTTGTCTTTAATAATCACATTAGCACTAATGCCTCAGCAAAAGGAGCATAAAAATATAAGGCTATTTAAATAACATAATGGATGTTCAGATATTCACTTACATTATTTGGTAGTTTTACACAAATATTATCCCAAGTTGTGTTTGCAAAATCAAGTCTTAATATATATTTTGGGTCTTGAAAAATTGTCTTTTCATGGCCTCATCTTATCTAACCTTTTGCTGGAATGCATTTTTATTTATATAAGTGATCCAAAATTGTGGGCCAAGTTAATGCTTGGTATAACTCTGTGGAATTCATACAGTTGAATTTAATATGTTTTTCCTGGTTTGAATGGAATACCAAGGTTGAAACTGGTCTTTGGCCTGTTTTTTCTTCCCTTTTTTGAATAAAATTATGCTTTTATATTTAGACTCCTTCCAAAGGTTTATTAATTTTAATTTATTTTCTACACTTTTAATTATTAGATCTCTTTGTTCATTCTTTTAAATGTTATCTTTTTTATTTTTGCTTCCCCTTCTTATTGCTGTTGCTGATTATACAGCAGATTTCAACCCTAAAGGTGAGTGAATGATAAGATAGATAATTTGAGATAAGATAGATAATTTGATCAGTGTCTCATAATTGAGAACAGGTTTTGAATGAAGTGAACTGCATTTCTTAGGAGGTTACTCCTTTAACAAGTGTTGGCTTGACATTGGTGTAGGAGGAGTTGCTTTAAAAAAATCTTCAGGATTTGATCTGATGATATCCTGTTTGTGCACAGTGTGTAAAAAGGGCCTGAACATGATGTTCTTTACCTGCTTTCATCTCAATTCTGCTTAAGAATTTCTTATTTAAGGCTGCAAGACTTTGTTTTTAATTGATTGTAAGTACTAACACACATGCCATTCATGATGACACCGGATACCATGACAACACCTGCTGCAACTGTCAAAGTTGAATGGGTGGGGGGAAAAGTGAAAAGAGTTATTTTGTTTGTTTGTTTATTTGTTTTATTTAGATAGCCTGAAAAGCAGATCAATTTTGAGATTTGGGATTTTGTCTGGATAGGTTTAAAGAGTCTATTAAATCCTTGTGAGAAAGAAATGCATTTTGTTGATTCTGCTTCATAAGAAATGTATTGCTGTGCTTTTTACCATACATAAAAATAAGGAAAGCCTGATGTAGAATTGGGGGCCAACTAGAAGGAAGTCTCAGTCTTTTCATTTTCTTGTTGAAGGCAGATTTGTCTCATAGCTGGGCATTTGGGGCACAGGCAGAAATGCAGCTCCCTGCTGTAACTCAGAACATTTTGCAGGAAGTGTTCTGAGTTACAACAATCCCTTGTACCAAACAGAAGTTCACTGTTGGTTCCAGAGATGAAGGCAATCTAGCCTGCTGGCTGCAAGCCTGCAGTTGGTCTCCCCCTAGCAACAACCCCTCCTCATGCAATGAGGGTTCAGATTTTTTTTTCCAATTGGCCATTTAAGTGGTCTGTAGCCATGCGCTTGTGTTTGGTCATGGCTACAGACCTCTTTCTGCAGCCAGATTGGGAGAAAATTGTCACTTCTGTCTGTGCCCTTGATTTTCTCATCTTTCCTAGCCCCTTTTTTATTAACATACTTGTAGAGACATTCTGGGAGAAGTGGTCTTGAAGCTGCTGCAGCCAGTAAGTACATGAAGGAAGCTGCTAGTGGTCACCTCAGTTTTCACTTTTGGTTCATTGGTTTGCAGAAGCTATGAGGTCACCCCAAGAAATAGTGCAGTTCCAGTCTAAGGGACAGGAAGAAGTTTTCTGTGGTCATAGTTCATAGCACCATTCCCTACAATCCAGGAGGAATTGCTGCAGTAAAATGGTGTTCTGTTCCAGCTGCCTGGACATTGAAACCAAGTCCCAGGGGTCAAGAACAAAGAGTAGAATCAGAACCATCTAAAATGAAATATTTCTGCCAGGTCTAGTTCTGTCTTACACAGTAGATGTGTTACTTTGCATGATAGGTGGTAGGGTCTTACCTCTTGAAAAAGAAGGTTCGGATAATGCAACTTTTATTTACACGAATGAGTCTTGCTCAAGCCAATATTCCTTTATGTTAAGGAGAATATTGTGGAATTTATAATTGTGCCTTGTCATATTTTTGTTTGGTTTACTACAAATTGAGCTCAGTCTACAACTGATAAGTCATGAATTCTCTGAAAAATCCATGTTGTAAACTGCAGATCCAGACCTGGCTATTTTTCTCTACCTACCAGGTGTTTACACAGAACTATAGTCAAGATTAAAGCAGCAGTGATTTTATATGTTAATTCTTACCTACAATGCATGCAAATATATTGTTATAGCTTAGAAGCGCACAGCTGATCTTATTTCAAACACTGATACTTTTTATATGATGATCTTCTTAGGTTGCATTTCAGATAAGTAGCTCTGGTCTTATACATGAGAGAGAATGTGAAAAAAGTTTTATGGCAACCCATATGGTTTGCTCTCCATTATTACTATATTAAAGTTACATGACATGTGCAATGTATAACAACTCTGGATGAAGCAGGGTCTATTACCAGACATAACAGGAAGGGATCAAGGAAGTTCTGGCTACCAGACTTTGCTACTGCTTTGGGTTTCCTTGCTACAATGTAAAATTACTCTAGCAGGCCTGAGGAAACGTTTTGAAACAGTTCTCCAATATAAATTTTCTACTTTAGTTATATTTTTCAGGGTATTCAGATATGTTTTCCCTTTTTTATGCAGTTTTGGACTCTATAAGATTTTTCCCCCCTGGAATTAAATTCCTGCTAAGTTCAGTTTTGAATTGCATTTTCTCTATATGTGTTGAAAAATTATGGTTTATGATGAGGCAGACTTGTGATCCAACAGCAATTGGCATGATACTAGAAAAAATAAACTTGCTTTAAACAGGAAAATATTTAGAAATCTTTATGACAATTTTTTAGTAACTTCTTGTGGCCAGTGCTTTGTATAGCACTTCAGGGCATTTATACATGTGTTCAGGGAGTGGAGGGGGAGGCACTTTAATTAGAACAGCACCCAGAGTGTCATGTGTATCAGTGTCACCACGTTGAAAAATGCTAATGTGGCACTTTAACAAAAGCTCATCGAACAAGCTTTAGTTAAAGCACCCCTACCACCATTTTCAGCATGGGGATGCTGATACACATGACGCTGGAGTCTGCTGGAGCATAGTAATTACCATGCTCCAGCAGACTTGATTAACGTAATTACAGTGTGTTGGAACAGCCTCACTGCACATGTATAGGTGCCCTCAATGTTTTAATAAGAAGACTTGTATTGTGCATTATTGACAAAGAAAAAATATTTTTACTCATTTTCTTATTAGATTATGAAGCAATTTATATAAAACATATGCAGAACTTGTTCAATAAGGCATTCTGAAAGTTCTTAGATTGATTTTTTTGAGCAGCAAGTTTTCAGCAACAATCTTCAAAACCTAGAAATGTTCCAGGTATGAGTGCATGTCTCAAGGTTCCTTATCAGTTTAATACTGATTTTTAGCAAACTGCTGCAGACTGACCACTTGGAGGCACTACCAGCCAATGGAGCTAGATAAATAAACAACAGTATGGATGTTCAGTATTGATCAGATATGTCTGGGCCTTACTGACCCTTCATTCTTTCCAGGCCCTCCAGTGATCTTAACTCTGAACAAGCCTTAGAAGACTTTCTTGCGAATAGAGCCAAATTTAAGAGCAGCAAGGAAAAAAAAAGAGATTTAGCTCCTTTTTATGTATTCCTTTCCAGGGGTGCTCCCTGATGTTTACCATAACTGTTACTTTCATGCCTTCATCTTTGTAGGCACTGTTAATGGCAGGTGTCCTTCTTTGTTTGTTCTGATCACCTTAACTGCTCTAGGCTAAACTGAGAACTGACCAGCTAATCATTTGCAATGATTGTGGAGGATATGGTTGATCTTTAGGTGCTTCCACTTTTCTGGGGCATAGAATGGAGCTAACTTTGGTGCAGCTAGTACAAGCAGAGCATTACACCTTGGTGCATAAGAAGGTTTCACAACAAAAACAAAGTAGGTTTTCCTGATGGCTGTTTCAGCAAAAGGAAGTAGGAACTGACTCCTTGGCCGACCTGTGTTTTTCATTTTATAGCTGTTGGGAGTTCTGTTTTATAAAATGCAATCAACTTTCAGATTTGCCAACTTATCTCAGCTGAGGGAGGGTATGATAGAGGTCTTGGAAAGGAGAAGACTGAGGGATGGATATGTTAGAGGTCTATAAAATCATAAAGGGTGTGGAGCAAGTGAACATGGAACTATTATTTACCAAGAACACTAGAACTAGAGGTTACCTGCTAAAATTAGTAGGTAACAGGTTTGAAACTAACAAGAGAAAGTATGTTTTATGCAATATGTAGTTAACTTGTGGTATTCATTTTTGCAGGAGGTGGGGGCAGATAGCATAGCCAGGTTCAAAAAAGGAGTGAATACATTCAAGGATGGTAGATCTATTAATGGCTCTTGAACAGAATGATTGGAGAGGTTGCCTCTGGAATCTCTAACCCAATAAATGTTAGATATCAGGAAAGATATTGTATAAGGTGTATGTCATTCTAGAGCAGAGGTGCTCAACCTCCAGCTTGTAGGCCAAATCTGGTCCAGAGACATGACATCCAGCCCATAGGGATCCCCACAGTTCGGAACACTTGGCAGCAAGGAGCAGTGGAAGCTCTACATGGCAGGATCCAACCTTGCCTGGGCCATTGCCTGTGCAGCAGGTTCAGGGCTGCCCCCTCTCTCCCACCCTGTGCATCCAGATCGGGGCTGGGCTACTCCCTTCAGCCCCCTCACATGTCCAGATCAGGGCTCCTATGCCCCCATGCACATCCAGACTGGGGGCTGCTTTGCCCTGGTCTGCTCCTGCCCCACTCATTTGGATCAGGACCAGGCTGTTCCCCCTTGCCTGCCTAGATTGGGGCTTTTCTGCCCCACCCTGCCCTGCCTCACCCCACTCTACCATGTCTGGATCAGAGCCGCTTTGCCCTCTTCCCTCCCCTCCCCTCCCCC